GGATTCAATCCCTGGTACCAAAATAAAAAAAAAAAAAAATTGAATCTCTTGTCTATTTGTCTTCTGTAAGCATAGATAGCAAGTTTAGGGCCCCCTTAGGGAACTTTAGAGTGTGATGTATCTTCAGTCTCTGCCATGTCTTTGACTTGTCTTGGTTTTCAGAATTGCATGAAGTTGACCAAGGTCAGCTTCCCAGAAACACATTATTGGTCAATCATGTAGTTTCTGGAATTGAAGAGAAAGGCAGAGATGATTCTTATCCTCTTTCAGATGAGGAGGAAAAAGTAGGTGTCATTCAGGGAGGAAAGATGATAAATTCTCAGAATTGTAAATGGAGAATAAACTATCCCACAGAACTAGGAAAACCATCCCAGAGAATTTGTGCAGGAGCCTCCAAGGGAAAACTCACTATATGCAGATGGGAAGGAATACTGCAGAGCCTCATGGTGGGGATGGTCATACAGTATTTAAGCAAGTAAGAGGGGGATTGGAGAATGTCCCATTTCCGCCTCACTTTCTCCTTATCTATGAAATGTATTTTATCAGTCACATTTGAAAGATAGAAGAATTATTCCTAAGAGGACAGATATAGGCAAACTTCAGGAAAAAAAATCATATGCAATTTAAGGTCAATTTTTGAGCCTGTAAAAGAATATCATGAATGGCTAAGATAGTTCTTAATGAGGAGTCTCCCTGGAGGTATTAACCCTCTGCTGCCACCATTCATGAAAGAAGCCCTTAATCTGAGAGAAGGTACAGGGCATTAGAAAACTGGGGATCAAGAGGCAGAGATGTTTGTAATTGGGATATGATGGAGAGAGTGATGATCTATCTGTGGGTATAATTTTTATTGTTGTGGGGCTACTTTTAGACTGTTAGATTAGACAAATACAGATATAGGTAATAAGTGACATTTTTCCTAATATTGCAATAGTTGGAAAGCACCAAATATAAGATCTGGATGCATCTCAAAGTTAGGCTGTGAAGGGCTTGCTTTCATAGGGAAGAGCAAATAAAATGTAAAGAAGGTGAAAGAGGAATGGATAAATGGAGGGCAGAACCTTCAGATCCAGCTGGGCACACTAGCACATGCTAGTAATCACAACTACTCAGAGGTTGAGGCAGAAAGTTCACAAGATGTATGTTAGTGTGAGCAACTTAGTGAGATTCTGTCTCAAAAGCAAAAATAACAAATTGAAAAGGCCAGGGATGTACCTCATTGTAGAATGCCCCATTACTACAAAAATAAAATAAAATAAAATAAAAATGAAAGAATCCTTTACCCTGAAGCCAGTCTATACTTATGAGTTTTTAGAAAAATGGTGTGTATGTTGGTTTAGGCTGACATGAGATGGTTCAATGTTCCAAGGTTTGTACATAGGGGAGAAACTTAAGCTAAGTTTGGTTAACCAAATTTTTTTTCTGATCACTGAATGTGAAAGTGTTCAACTAAGGGTTTTTGTTTTTTGTTTTGTTTTTGTAGTGCTGGGGATTGAACCCAGGGCCTTATGCATGTGAGGCAAGCACTGTACCAACTGAGCTATATCCCCAGCCCAACTAATTTTTTTTTTTTTTTTTTTGTGGAAAAACGTGGGACTTTGAAAGTGAGTGTCTGAATCACCATAGTTAAAATAGGGGGATCATGTAAGTCATGATGAGAAGGGGCTATTTGCTGCTGAGGAGAACACAAAAATTGGAGGGAATATCTTTAGTTATTTCCTAGGATTGCCTATGTGACCCGTCTTCCATGCTCTGTACATGTTTTCTTTTTTTTTTAATATTTATTTTTTCGTTTTAGGTGGACACAATATCTTCATTTTATTTTTATGTGGTGCTGAGAATTGAACCCAGGGCCTCACACATGCTAGGCGAGCACTCTACCACTTGAGCCACATCCCTAGCCCTCTGTACATGTTTTCTATTGTCACTTTCCCAAGTTATATATTTTACAAGAAGTTGGTATACCTAAGTAAAGTGTGTTTCTTTGTTCCATAGTAGTTCTATCAAATTATGTAACTCAAGTCTGTAGTTGTAAGGATCAGAGATATTAGCCTTATTACTGGAAATAGCAAATTCCTGTCTTCAAATGAAATAAGTGCTAGGGATGTAGCCTAGTGGTAGATCATGAAATTGCCTGAATGCAATCCCTAGTACAAAACAACATCAACAAAAACTCATCAAGTTTGAGTATTTTTACTCAATTCATGGTGCATACTTACTGATTAAAATTGTGTGGATAAAATTGGGAAGCAGAGAAGCCTGAGCTCAGTGACTTCAAGCAAAAACTTATCTTAAACCTGCAAAGAGGTCCTTGAATATTCATATGTTCTGATGGCATTAGAGGCAGATTTTCAAGATGTGGGTTTGAGTCATAGATAATCACTCCTGACAAAGAAGCCAAGAGAAGGGGGAAGACTCAGAATGTAGTTGGTTTTCAGTTACGTTTCCCAGATCAAGGCCTACATTGAGTTTTATTCCCCAAATACCTTGTATATAAAACTTATAAACTCCCATCACTACAATTCATATTTGTGTTTAACATGTTTTAGCTACTTAATTTCTTTTTCTTCTCACAGTAGTTAATTTTAGCTCTTGAAATGATACATTCCCTACATCCGGAGACTTGCCTCCACTCTTACACTTTAGTCTTACTCATATCATGAATTCATGACCTTCAGCATTGAATATATTTAATTTTTGACAAATAAATCTACTACCCTAGATTTCCACTGGGGGTGTTGATGGGTCATTAGATATTGCTAAAGAAGAAAACCATGCTTCCTTTACATTCCAACTGGACACTCTATCAACTTTAAGTACACAAGAATGAATAAAATGTACATTAAAATCAGATAATATTCATTGCCCATAGTAATGTAGAAAGTCCTTGAAATAAAGAATAATTAGAAGAGACATATCCTCTAGACTATTAAAGAAACTTTTGAACTACACTATTAGCACTTACTGAGCATAGAAGTATATGAAATGATTGTCTGATCAGGAGTAGGTTGACTTTGTGCTTTGCTTTTTATTTTGTTTCGTTTTGCAAGTGATATCACAGCAGTGACTTTGTGTCCTTTTATTTACATTGATATTTTTATACCATATATATCTACCAGATTCTTTCCCAATAAAGATAATTGATTCTTTTTATTATTAAGTATCTTTTCAGAATTTTTAAGAATAATCTATATAAATCATCATATTTGATACATATTCTTCTTTCTTTGTAATTTCTCTTTGCTTGTGGCTTGCTTTGGGGAATGTAAACTCTTAGTTTTTGTTTACCAGAGATATCAGCCTTATTACTGGAGGTTCTGAAGCAAACACTAGTTCTGTATGTTTTCATTTTATTCCACTTCGAATTCAAAGACATACACATAACATCCTCCCTACATTTTCAGTAAAAGAAACAATTTCCAAGTGCTTTAAAATTCTTAAATATAGCTCAAAAATGATGGATGAAAGAAAACCTACCATTGAAAATACAAGTCTCAGAAACTCTCTTTTCTTTCTATTCTTTATTGCATGTATCTCAATCATGTGATTAAAAAGCAAAGCATCAACCCTAAATTTATTTATAAGTTTGATACAATTAAGTTTATTTTTTATTTACATGAAAAAAATTTAATATATGAAAGCTGCCATTTTTAATGTGTGTGCTAAAATATAAAATATCACTTGATTTTGCTGCTTTTTTTCATTAGTTCTAATTAGCTATACATGACAGTAGAATGATTTTGACACATTGTACACAAAGAAGTATGATTTCTCATTCCTCTGGGCTGTACATGGTGTAGAGGAACACCAGCAGTGTAATCGTACATGTGTATATAGGGTAGTAATGTCTGTCTCATTCTATCATCCTTCCCTTCCCTACAGCCCCACACCTCCCCTGACTCCCCTCTGCACAATCCAAAGTTCCTTCATTCTTCCCTCTACTCCGCCCCTACTTATCAGAGAAAATATTTGGCTTTTGGTTTTAGGGGATTGGCTTATGTCACTTAGTATGGTATTCTCTACTTCCATCCATTTACCTGCAAATGAATAATTTCATTCTTCTTGATTTTACTGCCTTCTTAATATGTATCCATTTCCCTTCTCAGTTAAAATAACTGACCATCCTACTCTGAAATTTCTTTTAATTCCATAGTTTATTTTGACCTTTATAGTCTATTTTTTGTTGTTGTTTAATGAATAATAGTTCAGATAAACTTGGGCAAAACCCAGGTGCTACCATATACTGGAGATTTGACAAAATGTCCTAAAAGATGAAAACTATTACTGCCTTTATAGATTATTTTGAGATTTATTCATTAAGATACAAAAAACTCTTGGAGAGATATCTATATTTTTAAGGGAGAGAAAATTCTTATTGCAATTTGCCATAATAATAAAATGTGTATAAGCCTTAAATATTTGAATGCAAATTCATCAGAGAATTTTTCCTTTAGTGTTCTACCTCATTACTATTCATCAGCCTCCTTTGGACCATTGGCATTTGCATCACTAGAGAGATTGCTACTTACTCAAACCCAAACCACATCTTAGAAATACAGAATCACTGTCTGTCCTTTAGTAAATTCTCCAATACATGGTTGCACACATTAAAATTGAGAATCACTCTTCTAACTCACTGTAAGATTCTTATCTGAAAAGTATACATAATTTCTCTTAAAAACATAAGCAATTAAAATATATATTCTGTTTCTTAATTTTACATTTTATTTCATAAAAGTGTAGTATGTACACTGATTTTTGTTGTTGTTGTTTGCTTATTTTGGACTTATGTCATTCTCTCTCTTGAGACATTCTCTTTCTTCAAACTTAGATAATATGTTAGAGAACATTACTATATTAAAAAATGTCATATTGAATGATTGAGTTCACTCCCCTATGTGAAAGCCAGTTCTAACTCTCATTACAATTTGTGTCAAGTTAAAAACTGTGTCAGTGATCATATGGTTGATGTGATATTTATTTACTCATTTTTATTTCAGGAACCCTTGACATTCAGGGATGTGTTCATTGATTTCTCTGAAGAGGAATGGGAATGCCTGGATTCTGCTCAGCAGACTTTATATAGAGATGTGATGTTAGAGATCTATAGAAACCTGGTATTTTTGGGTGAGCATAAATTTCCTTTAGAATTCCTAATTTATTGTCAATGTTTACTTTTCTTCCTTTGTAGAATATTTCTTGGAAGCTTCTGTTCTGCATGAAAATGTTATAGATTCTTGTTTTGAGGATGAAGATTGGGCTTTTTTGAGTAGAAAATAAAATGTTAAAGGTATTTGTTTTTATATTTAACCTCTTTTTTATTATTCTTTTTACTTTTGATAGTTCAAAATAGTGCTCACAATCAGAAGATTGAAAATATTTCTAAAGTATTTGAATGATTCTGCCAGGAAAAAAAAACATTTGGAATAACAATTGTCTAGAATCTTCTATGATTTATATATATATATATATATATATATATACACACACACACACATACATACATACATACACACACATATATTCTAATGAGTACAGCATTAATATTGTTTCTATTAAGAAACAATAGTAGTTACAACAACAGTACCACAATGAGTCATATTCCATTTTCCAATAAACACATCTTGTTCTAAGTCATCCTTAGTCATCTTTCTGTCCCAAAAGAAATAACCTTGGAATTTAAAGAGAAAAGCTACAGTAGCCATATCAAAGTGAGTAGAAATCAATGAAGCAAAGGACACATAGAAGAGGTCTAAATGTCAAAGATGAAGTCACATTTTGAAATGTTAATTGAGAAGCTATAAATCAATAGAAATGCTTTTTCAAACCTAAGTTTATTTCTGTTGCAATCATTGAAGAGCATAGCTTGTCCTGTTTATCATGCTTTCTAATTCTATAAGCTCTTTCTTTTTCTCTAGTCATCTCCCTACTTTCAAATTAACAACCGTCTCCCCAGTGCCTGTGAGGGTGTTCATAAGTTGACAGACATTTATCGATCTTGAAAATATGCACACATTTGTGCCTACCTCTAGCTTAAACAACCTCAATGTATTAAAATCAAAGAACAGGTTCTCTGATTTAAATATTTATTCTTTCAAATTTTCTCATCAAAGCTTTGTATGAAAGCTTATCCTGGATTTTCTGGGAAATTTTTCTGCCATGTAATGGATATGAATCAGTCACAATGCTTGCTCTTAGTGGCTATATAATTACAGCTGAAAATTGTGGTTTAAATAATGATTCTTAAATAAGAGTCATTCAAAATTTTTTGAGTTAAATTTTCTCTCATTTTTGTGTCTCTTTTTGAGTTTCACTGTTTAGAGTAACTTCAGTATTGTGCCATAGATTTTCTCACATCAGTGAATATTGTTTTCATTTTACACATATAAGTTATAATTGGATAAAAATTTTTATGACTTCACATTTTAGGACAATATTAGTCAAAATTAAAATATGTATGAACCATTTAATTTTCAATTGAATTACATATGCTTTTACATGCTTGTATAAATATTACCCCAGTTTTGTTTATGACTTGTGTATAGTCTCTTTTTTTTCTTTTATGCCACTGAGGATTGAACCCAGGGTCTTTTGCAACCAACTGAGTTATATTGCCAGCTTTAGTATCTTGATTGTTTACTCTGCTTAGGTGATTATTCATATAATTCATCTAAATTTTATGTGTGTGTTTATATAATTTATATGTATTTTTATATATTAATTATAGTATTTTGCAATTAATTTTATCATATATTATGTACATTTATATAATAAAATTTAGATGAATTATATGAATATTTAATATTATATGAATATATTATATATATATATCCCCCCCCCTGGGATTGAACTCAGAAGTGCTATAATACTGAGCTACATCCCCAACCACAATTCTACTTTTATTTTGAATCAGGTTTTTGCTAAGTCATTTTTTTTTAATATTTAGTTTTTAGTTGTAGTTGGAAACAATACCTTTATTTTATTTATTTATATGTGGTGCTGAGGATGGAACCCAAGGCCTTGCATGTGCTAGGCAAGTGTTCTACCACTGAGCCACAACCCCAGCCCTTGCTAAGTCATTTTATATTTGAATTTCCCTGCCATAGCCTTCCAAGTAGCTAGAATTATTAGCATATTCATCATCTATATGTAGGTGAATCTGTTCTCTTGGAGCAAGATTTTAGCATTTTGTTTTATTTTATTTTTAATTTTTTTTTAGTTGTTGATGGACACAATACCTGTATTTATTTATTTTTATGTGGTACTGAGGATCAAACCCAGTGCCTCACACATACCAGATAAGTGCGCTACCACTGAGCCATAACCCCAGCCCCAAGACTTTAGCATTTTAAAGGTAGCTCACAAAGAATGTTACAATTCTGTTTATCTTTTATATTTTTTTCAAATTTTAATTGTGATCAAAACCATTTACTTACTTTCACTTAAACTTACTGTCTTACATATTTTAAATATACTGTTCAGTAGTGTTGTTTCAAATTATTTGGTAACATATTTCTGGAAAGCTTATATCAAATAAAAGTAAAATTCAATTCTCATTAAAAGAATTTGTCTCTCACCCTTCCATCCCAAACACCATTTCTTCTGGCCTGTATGTTTGATTATTTTAGATATCTCATAAGTAGAATCACATGGTATTTGTCTATTTGTTAATGACTTCTTTCAGTTCACATAATATCATAAAGTTTAATCATTATAGATGTTATAAAATTTCTTATTTGTAAAGTTGAAAAACGTTTCATAGTTTACTTCAAATTTCCTTCATCCACTCATAGGAAAGGATATTTCATTTGTGTTACATATTTGGCTCTATAGAATTATGTTGTAATGAGCACAGATGTGTAAATATGTCTTGATTTGACCATCAAATCAAGGGCCAATTGCTACACTGTCAGTTTTGTTACATATGTCAATTTGTCTAACTTCATTTTAACATAAAACTATTGGATATTGTACCTTTTATTATTTTATTTAATTAATTTATTTATTTTAATTGTAGTTGAACACAATACCTTTATTTTATTTATTTATTTATTTATTTACGTGGTGCTGAGGATAGAACCCAGGCTTGCATGAGCTAGACAAGAGCTCTACCACTGAGCCACAACCCCAGCCCAACCTTTTATTATTTTTATATCAGAAAGTATTTGTTTTATTTTGAATATTATTTAGTTGTTTATATACCCTGGATACTTCAAAAAATTTTTAAAATAACATTTTGTTTCTCCAAAAAGTTATATTGAATATCTGATAGGTAATACATGGACTTTCTTTAGAACTCTTTGAGAGGTAAAGGCACTTTCTTTTTGTACCAGGATTGAATCCAGGGATACTTATCCACTTAGTCACATCCCCAGCCCTTGATTTTGTTTGAGACATGGTCTCCCTAGTTGCTGAATCTGGCTTTCAACCATTGGTGAATTATTGGATATTACTTCTACTTTTGATTTCCAACTAACTACATTATGTTACAAAGCAATTTCAATATTTTAATAATGATTAACATTTGTGATTTTTTTTACCAAGTCTCTTGGAGATAATATTCCATGAACTATTGAGAAGAATGAATCTCTAAATCTAGTTGGTTCATAATACTTTTTGAAGTTTTCTAATACCTGAGTATATTCCCAATGCTTTTTTCTTCCTTTGCATTAATTGGGGGTTGATGTCCTCTACTATTACTGTGTTGCTTTCTATGGTGTTGAATTCTCTAGTGTTTGCCATCTATATTTGGGAAGTGTGATTTGAGTTTCACATGTATTTATTACTGTTTTATTTCAGAGAAGGGCCACTTTCATCTTTATACAATATTCTTTGTCTCTTATAATCTCTTATTTAATAAATTTTGTCATCTTTACACTTTTAAATGTAATATCCATTTCATACTTTTATTTTAGTCTTTTTTGTGACCTTAGATGTAAGGAGAATATCCTGTAGGTTTAGATATGATATAGTTATGTATTTTTAGTTTTAATCTTATTAGTCATGTGTTCTGAGTGGTGTTTGATAATAGTGCATTTGTACTTAAATTACTGACTAGCAGGAACTTTGTACTATAACTTTGTTAGATTTTTTTTTTCTTAAATTTTTTTCTACTTTTAAAAAACTGCTTTAATTTGTGGTTTATAAATTTTTATAGTGACATGTTTTGATTCCTCCCTATTTCCTTTTATATCTTCTATATCTATTTTGTTACTACTTGGAATTATATAAAAGTACTTAGTTAACACTGTATTTTAAATTGAACTTCAGTTCCTTATAAAAATCTGTGTCTTTACACGTCTTATTAATGTTTTATTATTGATATCACAGCTGATTTTATACCTTATACCCATTAACAGCGATTTATGATAATATTTATGCTTTAGTCTTTTATATTCTATAGCAGAATTAAATGTTTTATGGGCCACCATGATAGTAAAATGGAGTTTATGTTTGTGTATATTTTGTTTTTCCTCAAAAGCTTTCATATTTTAGTGACTTTTGTAGCTATGAAGCTTTATTTTATTGGAAAGATTCAGTTTAGTAAGTCTTGTAGGATAGGTCTAAAAGTGAGGATATTTTTGAGCATATCTTGCATATCTTGAAAGCCTGTATTTTTCATTACATTTGAAGAATAGGATTTGTTGATATAGTCTTCTAGGTTGATATTTTTTCTTTTAACACATGACTGTATGCTCCAATTCCTTCCTAGGCTTCAATTAAGAAGTCACCTATTAACCATATAAAAATATCTTTATAGATGACACCTCTCTTTTTTCTTGGTCTGCTCAAAAAAGTTCTCTTGAGTTTTAATGCTTTAATTATAATTGCTTTACCTTGAGTCTTTGAATTGAGTTTGTAACATTTGATGTATTTTCCTCCCTATATTTCTAATTTCTCAGACATTATTTATTTTCAGGGGGGGCGTGCGGTGTACCAGGGATTGAACTCAGGGGCGCTCAGCCACTGAGCCACATCTTCAGCCCTTTTTTGTATTTTATTTATTGACAGGGTCTCAGTGATTTGTTTAGTGCCTCCCTTTTGCTGAGGGTGGCTTTAAACATGTGATCCTCCTTCATCAGCCTTTTGAGCTGCTGGGATTACAGGTCTTATACATTATTTCTCAGGGAATATTTCTAGCATACAATTTCTCCTTTTGTCATTATTTTTTTCTGAATTTTATTCACTTTTTTTCATTTTTTGGGGGGTATTTATTTATTTATTGCAGTGCTGGGGATTGAACCTAGGATCTTGAGAATGTTAGGCAAACTCCTTAACCACTGAACTATACCAACATTCCCAGGCCTGGTATTTAGTTAGCATTTAATGCAGCTGTTTAGAGTATTCACAGGAGATTGATTTTGGATCTTTGCTGTGGATACAAAAGTCCTTGAATACCAAGTCTCTTATATAAAATAGTGGCACTTTTCTTTATTCTTAATTAGTTCATTAAAGATCTTTTAAATGGTTAATTGGCATTCTTTATATAATTAACATCTCTCAGTTTCCTAACTCTCAATTTCTAGTGTTTTATATTGTTTCTTTGCTTGAGTCAATTTTCCCCTTTTTCATGTGTGTGTGTTTGTGTGCTGTTATTTTCATTCAGATTTTTCCATTTAAAAACCCCTTAAAATAGATCACTCTAGTCATTTTAGACAATGTTTGGAATTTACCAAATAAACAAAAATAGGTCAGGTGTATAAAGGGTTGTGGGTGTAGTTCAGTGGTAAATGACCCTATGTTCAATCCCAAAGTACCCCCCAAAGATAAAAGGGAGAAAACACTTTCTGAAATGTTTGAGTCACATGTAGAATCTGAACAGTTTGAACTGAGAGACTATGTGATTTGATGGTGTTGTGGAAACATTACTTAAAGTCTAAGTGTTGTGTTCACCTGTGGTGCTATGAAATCTCAAGATGGTTTTGGAAGTTCTCATAAATAAATTTTTTCAGCATATTGAGTTCATATACTTCTGGATTAATGATGGCCTTGGATTATACTGATTTCTTATTTATATATTCACCTTGATAAAACTTTATATATTTGCAAATTTTTATATTCATCACAGTAAGTGGAATAATTTGCTATTTTTACTTCTTTCAGGTATATGTTCTCATCAAGCCCAAGAATTTGCACCAGAGCAGGAAATAAAATATTTATTCCAAAATATGAAAAAGGAAAGGTATGGAAAATATGACATTGAAAATTTACTTTTAAATAAAGAATGCAAAATTGTGGGAGGGAATATAGGTCAGAAAAATTATTTTAATGAACATAACAAATGCATGACTATTATTTAAAATTAAAATTATACTGTCATCAGGTATCAGTAACATAACATCTCAGAAGACTGCTTAATTCATGTCAGTAACTTTTGAGGACCTATGTGTGCCTTTAAATACATTTTCATAGCATTTTTTACATCATATCTTGCCTCTAAGTAAATTTGGAAATTTTGCTATGGAGACTATTCCATGCTTCAGTTAGTAAGTGGAATATTTTGAAACGTAGCATTGAGTTAAACATTCACTCAAACATTTCTCTAGACAAGAGATTAAAAATTAGAAAACAAATTTCTGACTAATTAATCTGATCATTACTTTACAAAAAGGCTGCAATGAAAAAACAATTCCACCTGTGCTAAAGCATAGAATTTTGATGAATGTGAGAAGAGTTGTACTTACCTATTGCTTAATCAAATTTTAGATATAGATATTTGAAGAGACTTCTACATTTATGATAAATCTTTCAAGATGTGTACCTAGGTCTTTTCCCTAACTAATTACCAGTATATTTATTTTGGTGTTAAAAAATGTAAATTCTGTGAAACTCATAAGAATTTATTTTTTTAAATCTTAGAAAACATCAGTGTGATCATTTTAAACAGAAGCTTTACAAAGATAATAAAAGTGAGAAAGTTTTTAATCGAGTGTCAAAATTTATCTATCCAAGCTTTGATATTCAAGAAAAGAAAGACAAATGTATGGGACGTTCAAGAGCTTTAAATAAAATTGCAAGCATTACTGAACACCAGAAAATTCATACTGGAGGGAAGTCCTACAAATTTAAAGAATGTGTAAAACCATTTAAAAATTACTCAATCCTTTATCATAGCAGTGACAAATCCTACATATGTAAAGAATGTGGTAAAGGTTTTAGTCAACCTTCAACCCTTACTAAACACCATATGATTCACTGTGGAGAGAGCCCATACAAATGGAGGAAATGTGTCAAAGTCCTTAAGTATCACTCAACCCTTATTAAACACCACAGTATTTATAATAGAGAAAAGCTCTACAAATGTAATGAATGTGGCAAAAGTTTTAATCGAAGCTCAAACCTTATTGTTCACCGTAGAATTCATACTGGAGAGAAGCCATACAAATGTGAAGAATGTGAGAAAGCCTTTCATCAAAAATCACACCTTACTCAACACCAAAGGAATCATTCTGGAGAAAAGCCCTACAAGTGTAAAGAATGTGGCAAAGCTTTTACTGTTAGGCCAAGCCTTATTGCTCACCAGAGAGTTCATACTAGAGAGAAGCCATACAAATGTGAAGAATGTGGCAAAGCTTTTAATGAAAAGTCACACCTTATCTGCCATCAGAGAATTCATACTGGAGAAAAGCCATACAAATGTAAAGAATGTGGCAAAGCTTTTACTGTTAAGACAAGCCTTATAGCTCACCAGAGAATTCATACTGGAGAAAAGCCATACAAATGTAAAGAATGTGGCAAAGCTTTTACTGTTAGGCCAAGCCTTATAGCTCACCAGAGAATTCATACGGGAGAAAAGCCATACAAATGTAAAGAATGTGACAAAGCTTTTACTCAAATCTCAAAACTTATTATTCACCAGAGAATTCATACTGGAGAAAAACCATACAAATGTAAAGAATGTGGCAAAGCTTTTATTGAAAGATCATACCTTACTCAACACCAGAGTTTTCATACTGGAGAAAAGCCTTACAAATGTAAAGAATGTGGCAAAGCTTTTTATCTAAACTCAAAACTTACTGTTCACCAGAGAATTCACACTGGAGAAAAGCCCTACAAATGTAAAGAATGTGGCAAAGCATTTAATCAAAACTCAAGTCTTAATGTACACCAGAGAATTCATTCTGGAGAGAAACCATACAAATGTAAAGAATGTGGCAAAGCATTTAATCAAACCTCAAGTCTTAATGTACATCAAAAAATTCACACTGGAGAGAAAACATACAAATGTAAAGGCCATGGAATGAGGCAAAATTGTTAAGTAATCCCTCAAGTGTTATCAAGCAGCAGAGAATTCATACTTGAGAGAATCCTTACAAATATAAATGTTAAAAAGCATTTATTGTGACATCATACTTTATTGATCACCAGATAATTCAGAGTGGAACAAAGCCCTACAATTGAAGAAAAAATGTGGCAAAGTTTTTATTCAAAGTTCAGCATTTTAAAAATGTCAAACATTATAGTAGGGATTAAACCCTACAAACGTAGAGTATGTGACAACACTTTTAAGAGAAGCTCCCACCTTACAAATCACCACCATAGATATAGTACCTGAGCCCTATAAATGTAAAGAATATGTCAAAGCTTTATTCAAATGAAAAAATTATACATTATCAAAACCTAATTCTTGTTAATATCTGCATAAAACCCTCTGTCCAAGATGCATAGCTAATATGTCAGCAAAATGTTTAACATTGAGAAAAATGTTGACATATGAGAAAAATACAGCAAAGTCATTGTTTTCCATATATTTCTGAAATGAGCATTATCAGAGAATTTCTATAAGTATAGAAAACATGGCATTACTTTTAACAGTTTCTAAAAATTTACTGGGCATCATTAGTTGATGTGATAGAAATAAAGTAACCCTCAGATATCAACGTAGTGCAAATAGCTCATCCCTGAAAAAAAATATTTGTTTATTACAAATAAAAACTAAATATATATACTCAAAAACTGGAGAAAAGTAATTTTTCCTCTAGGTAATTATATCAAAGGAAAAATACTCATTAATAAGAATTTTAAATTTGACTTTTTTCTTGTGGTGGTGGTGATGAGGATTGAACCCAGGGCTCTCGAATGCTAAGCAAATGTTCTACCACTGAGTCACATCCGTAGCCAGTGTATTCTGTATTTTGTGAAGACTTTGCAATTATATTTGAAATACTTTATTCACATTGTGAAAGAATTTTATTACAAAATAACAGTGAATGTTTCTGAATTGTTAACACTATCATGTATTGAATTACATTTTATGATAGTTTGTAGACAACGAAGAGATACTGTTTGGTAAACAATGTGACATTTCTTTTAATCCTTTTAGGCAATGTAGTCAATCTTCAAATTATGTGGAGATGATTTAATCATTTCTAAAGAAACTGGCTCAATAAATTGTGTAACTTAATCATTTCTCATTTTTTATATTTATTGTGGACAAAGACACTATAGGAAATATAATGAAAGATGATAACAAATCCAGATTGCTAAATCTTAAGTTACTATTTCAAAATTTTATTCTATAATTTATGGGTGTTTTACTGATATATTGATATCCCTTCATGTCATGAACATTGGTTTTGATTGAAATTTATTTGAATATACAAATTTTCCGATCTAATGGTAAAGTTTGGGAGTAAGTATGATAGAAGTAGTAATTCTGTCTTTCTGTCTCTCTCTCTTTTATGTGTGACAGAGAGAATGGATGTGTTTGCTTATGCCTCTGTTTAGAAACAAAATAACTTATTTAATGAAAGAGAATTTCAAGATTTTTCATGATTACTAGTAAACTATAAACAACAAATATCTTTTAACAATCTTCTGAGGTACACTAAACTCATTTCTTCCAAATACATGATTCCTGATTTAAAAATCTTGCCACACCAATTTTGGCCTTTCTGTTTGCTTGTTACTCATGGAACATGTAACATATAACTTTTTGGTTTGAAACTTTTATAATACATTGCTATATGATCTGTTCAGAGAATTTAAGAATAATTTTAATGATAGTTACTGGTATTCAGAAATTAGTTTGAAAGTATTATTTCACAGTAAGAATATTAACAAAACATTTTGTTTTATTAATGTACTTCATTATTTTTTTCTTTATGAAAAACAGTTATTTCAAATTTATTGCTTCAATTTATTGGACATCTTAAAATTTAGACAATTTATTGAGCCAGTTTCTTTAGATGAAAACTGCATAGATTTCATAAGACATGAGGTTGTTTTGAACTTTCTATGAAATAAAAAATTATGAAACAGTGTTGGATATGTAATAAGTACTCCTTAACTGGGAGAAAAAAATGGTTGTATTAGAATCAGCTAATTTCTCCATCTAGGAATGAAACATCTGGGGTGAAGAAATGACATTAATTCTGTTAATTTAGAGTGAGGAACACTTCAATTCTGCACAACTGTGAATTTAAGAGATTTTTATTTTATTTATTAATTATCTCAAATTTCTCATTAAATCTTTAACTTTCAACAACACAAGCATGACAACTATTTTTTATTGCCAGTGTTATGACTAGTGTTTTCACTTTGGTAAATCCAAGTCTTCTTACAGGATTTTTTTCTTCTTTCTTTGCTTTCTTTTTTTTTTTTTTTTTTTTTTTTTGGTTTTCATGAGTATATTAACATTTTACTAAATTAAATATATAGTATATTTTTGATGATTTCTGTGTCTTGATTTTAAATTTTCTTGATTTCTGTGTCTTTATTTTAAATTTTCCTTAAAAATTACTTGGAAAACTACAATTGTGGGGTACAGAGTGAAGTTTCAATCCATGAATACATTATATAATCAAATCAGTAATTTCATGTGCTTCACCTCAAGATATTTTTCTTGATATGGTAAGCAACTTATGAACACTTTCTTCTAGTTTTCTTGGAATTAATAGAATATCATTAATATGTATTCTCCCTACTATGTAATCAAGCCATAAATCTTACTTTCCCTATTGTCTATTTTCCCCTCAGGATATATCTTCTCCTCTTCCCATACTCAGGGAGCCATAATTTTACTCTGTACTTAAATGACATCAACATTTTTTAATTTTACCCATCAGAACCTGCAGTGCTTGTTATTCCTTGTGTAGCTTATTTTACTTTGTTCAAGTTTCTGTAGGTTAATCTGCACAAAGACATTATTTTTATAGTAAAATTAAGCATCTTTTTTCATTTGCTTATTTGCTATTTGTTTTCTTTGGAGTAACATATATTTAAATCATCTGCTTGCTTTTTATAATTGGGTTCTTGGGCTGATGCCCAGAAGAGGTGGACCAGAGTGACCCCAGCCTGACCTGCAGAGAAGGTGAATAACTGCACATTTGAGGAGGAGAGTGATCAGAGTGCAGTTCCCCCCATCTACCAACTTGGCTGTCCAGCCCACTTCCATCTAGAGACAACAGCCAGGACCTGGAAGACCATCAAGTTGCCAGCAGGCCTGGTTACACCAGAGGCAACGTTTTGGTATCCTGCAAGGACACTACAGGACTATAGAGAAGAAACTGTAATACCTCAGATCTGCACTGGCAGAGAGAAACATACATGAATAACATGAAAAAACAAGGGAAGAAAGTGCCCCAGATAAACTAAGATAATACAAAAATAGAATCCATTGACAGCACAGTAAATAAAATGTCAGAGAAGGAGTTCAGAGTGTACATAATAAAGGTGATCTATAAATTAAACACTGACAGAACAAATACAGGCAATAATTGATCATTCCAATAAAGAGATAAAGAGAGCAAATACAGGTAGCAAAAGATTACTTCAAGATAGAGATAGAAATACAAGAGGCTTACAGGACACTAACTGTACAAAATTACAACAGATCTACACCAAGGCACATTATAATGAAAATGCCTAGCATACAGAATAAGGATAGAATCTTAAAAGCCACGATAGAGAGAAATCAGATCACATATAGAGGGAAACCAATTCATATCTCAGCAGATTTTTTAGCCCAGACCCTCAAAGCCAGGAGATCATGGAACAACATATACCAAGCTCTGAAAGAAAATGGATGCCAACCAAGGATCATATCCAGCAAAACTAAGCTTTAGATTTGATGATGAAATAAAAACTTCCATGATAAACAAAAGTTAAAAGAATTTACCACTAGAAAGCCTGTACTACAGAACATCCTCAGCAAAATATTCCACACAGAGGAAATGAAAAATAATGATGAAAATCAGCAGAGGGAGGTATTACACTAAAGGAAAATCTAATCAGAGGAGGAGAAACCAAGTCAGGTTAAATACCAAAAATAAACAAAAATGGCTGGGAATACAAATCATGTCTCAATAATAACCCTGAATGTTAGTGGCATAAACTCACCAATCAAAAGAAATAGACTAGCAGATTGAATTTTAAGAAGGACCCAACAATATGCTGCCTCGAAGAGACTCATCTTATAGGAAAAGACATCTGCAGACTGAAGGTAAAGGATTGGGAAAAATTATACCACTCACATGGACTGCGGAAGCAAGCAGGGGTTTCCACACTCATATCAAATCAGGTAGATTTCAACCTAAAGTCAATCAAAAAGAATAAAGAAGGACACAGCATACTGCTCAAGGGAACCATATACCAACAAGACTTAACAATTATAAATATGTATGACCTAAACAATGGAGCATCTATGTTCATCAAACTGTTCTCAAGTTTAAGAGTCAAATAGACCAGAACACAATAATTTGAGGTGACTTTAACACACCTCTTTCATCCCTGGATAGATCTTCCAAACAAAAGCTGAACAAATAAACTATAGAACTCAATAACACAATCAATAACTTAGACTTAACTGACATATATAGACTATTTCATTCTTTAAATACACTTTCTTCTCTGCAGCACATGGATCCTTCTCTAAATAGACCATATATTATGCCACAAAGCAACTGTTAATAAACATAAAAAAGTAGAGATACTACTGTGTATTCTATCAGACCATGATGGAATGAAATTAGAAATCAATGATACAATAAGAATTAAAAGCTACTCCAACACCTGGAGACTGAATAATATGCTACTGAATAAACAATGGGTTACGGAAGACATCAAGGAGGAGATTTAAAAATTTTTGCAGGTGAATGATACAACATATCGAAATCTCTGGGACACTATGAAAGTAGTTCTAAGATGAAAGTTCATTGCATGGAGTTCATTCCTTAAAAGAAGAAAAAGTCAACAAATAAATGACTTAACATTTCATTTCAAAGCCCTAGAAAAAGAATAAAAAATCAACACCAAGAACAGCAGAAGACAGGAAATAATTAAAATCAGAGCTGAAATCAATGAAGTTGAAACAAAAGAAACAATTAAAAAATTGACAGAACAAAAAGTTGGTTCTTTGAAAAAATAAATGAAATTGACAGACCCTTATCCACGCTAACAAAGAGAAGGACAGAGAAAACTCAAATTACTAACATACATGATGAAAAAGGAAATATAACAACAGACACTACAGAAATACAGAAGATAACTAGAAATTATTTTGAAAACCTTTACTCCAAAAAAAAAAGAAAATATTGGAGTCATCAACAACTTTCCAGTCATATAATTAGCCCAAATTGAATCAGGATGATATACACAATTTAAACAGATCAATTTCAAGTGACCAAATGGAAGATGCCATCAGAAGTCTACCAACCAAGAAAAGCCCAGGACCAGATGGATACAGGACCAAGTTCTGTAAGACCTTTAAAGAAAAACTAATACCAATAATCTTCAGTTGACTTCAGGAAATAGGAAAAGAGAGAGCACTTCCAAACTCATGTTATGAGGCCAATATCACCCTCATTCTAAAACCAGGCAAATACACATCAAAAAAAGAAAATTTCAGACCAATATCTCTAATGAACATAGATCCAAAAATTCTCAATAAAAAATTCTGGAAAATTGAATACAAAAAGATCATGCATGACGATCAAGTGGGATTCATCCCAGGGATGTAAGGTTGGTTCAACATATGGAAATCAATAAATGTGATTCATCACATCAATAGACTTAAAGATAAGAATCATATGATCATCTCAATAGATGCAGAAAAAGCATTTGACAAAATATAGCACCCCTTCATGTTCAAAACAGTAGAAAAATTAGGGATCATAGGAACATACCTCAACATTATAAAGACTATCTGTGCTAAGCCCCAGCCCGACATCATTCTAAATGGAGAAAAATTGAAGGCATTCTCTCTAAAAACTGGAACAAGTCAGGGATGCCCTCTTTCACCACTTCTATTTAACATAGTTCTTGTAACACTGGCCAGAGAAATTAGATGAAATAAATTAAATGGATACACATAGAAAAAGAAGAACTCAAATTGGCACTATTTGCTGATATGATTCTATACCTAAAAGACCAAAAAAACTCTACCACAAAACTTTTAGAACTAGT